ATTTGAATTTCTTATATTTTAAAATTTAAATTTTATATAGTTCAATCAAACTTGGATGAAGAAATGACCAAAAGAAAATTGGTAGATCTCAATGAGTTCTACAAGTTTGTTTTTGACAATTTTTTCATATGAATTCATTTAGCATTATAAAATTCAATTCGAAATTCTTATATTTTTAAATTAATTTTTTAATAACTATTTTCACATGTGGTCCTCTTAAAGAGCCGCATGCAAAAATCTATTTTCACATGCGGACTCTTTAAGTGGTCCGCATGTAAAAATATTTCACATCTAAACAATTTTTTCCCTCCTATCCACTTCAAAATTTTTCATCTCTTCTTCTCTCCTCTCTCTCCCATCTCTGGTATTTTCCCCTCTCACTCTTTCTCTTCCTCACTCTCACCCTCTCTCCTGTCTTTCTCTTCCTCTCTCTCTCATCCCGCATATGCGGGCGGTGCGCCCGAGGAAGAGGCGCTGGGAGCAGGTGCCGCCGCGGTGGCGGCGGCCAGGAGCGGCGCCGCCCCGCGACGCGGACTCCGGCGATGATGGTAGGGGCAGGCATGGGAGACGGCGGCGGCCTTCCCTCACCCGGATCTGCCGGCGGCTATCCTCCCCCGCCCCGATCTGCCGGCGGCGGCCCTCCCCCGCCTGGATCCGCCGGTGGCCACCCTACCCTGCCCCGATTCGCCGGCGGCGCTCTCCCGGCGGCCGGCGCCTCCTCGTTGGATCCGGGAAAGGAGTACGATGTCAACGGTGGCGGCAGCGGCTTGAGAATGACGGCGACAGTTGGAGGATAAGGACGACGGTGGCAGCGACTGGAGGACGACCACAGGCTGGCAACGGTTACATTTTTCGATTTTTGAAATTTTTATTTTTATCGTGATTTTTCATTTTCGCATGCGACTGGCTTATGGTTGCGCTGACCGCATGCGAAGATCGTGATCTTTGCAGACTCTCTCGTGCATGCGGTCCGGCCAACCGCATGCGAAAATGCATTTCGCCCATTTGCAAAAATGGTTCTTTTAGTAGTGCCGAAATTTAATATTTTTGATATGTAGCTAATAATATGGAATTGTTCGCATGTAAATGGTATATTGGTGGCATAATAAAAAAAACATCTCCCATATCTGTGACATATTGATATGCGAACAAAATCTGTAATATGTACTATATATAAGTTGTGTTTCTCACGAGTCACGACGTGGCTTTTTATGGCTAGAGTTCTTTTCCATAATTGTTTTCGTAATAACTTTTCGCACCTGGAGGAAACGGCAGCACACACAGACGGGAAGTTCCAACCCCTTCATTGACATGCGGGCCCCTCCACTAGTTTCTCCGTTAGTTAGTTAGGATTACCGGGTGTCATGTTTAACAAACACGGTAACTAAAAGCTGGAGCGTTGCTTTTCCGTTTCCTCTGTGCCATTTGCGTACCAACCACAAGAAAAAACGTTCTCACAGCAACAGATGAGTGCGCGCCAACGGAAAATGATCTGGAGATGGGACTTTGGGACCCATGTTCCCTAGTGTACCAACAAAACACTTAGTAATATTTCAGTGTTACCTAGTATCAAGAGAACACTCTGTAAAGAGAATAGTTACGTGGTGTATCTTGAAAACACTACGGAACTCACCGAGTGCCAGAAAAAACACACGGTACATCTCTAGTTACACCCGGGAGAGACTCACATTTGGATCATGATCTTGTTGCTTGTGAGTGTTCAGGTTAAGCATCAAACAAAGCTTGTTAAGCGGGGAAGTCAAGTGCGTGGCGTGAAGAAGCCCTCAGGACTATACGGAGGTGAAATGTCTGGTATTAATCCAAATGTGAGCCGTAGTGTTAGGTTCAAGGGCTGATGGATCGAATTGATTACGCCCAACATGGAAATTTTTGTTTGATGGTAGGAAGTTTCATGGTTGTAATTTGCCAGTAACAGTTTTGCCTAGAGAGAGAGAGAGCATGCATGCATTGTCTTTCAATTTTGTACCAACTAGAGTGTAGAGCCCTCCCAGTCCCAGGGTGAGTTGCCGGAAGCATGTAGAGGCGCCTGGAGCACGTCGTGCAGGGAATCGGATCGGAGGATTCGGTGGCAGAGATGGACCAATTGGATACTATCATGGTCATGGCGCTGTCTGCAGTGTCCAGTAGGATTATGGGAGTGCGAGGCGAAATTTTGTCAATTAATATCAATATTGGCACACGTCGTGGGTGCGATGTTTCTCACCGGAATGAAAAAAGTTCAAGGAGCACCAAAATATGATTTTTGGACATAGTGGAGTGTATTGGGTGCGTTCGTGGAAAAAAAATTACTTCCTGATTCGCGCGGCGAAATTTTCTCAATTAATGCCAATATTGGCATATATTGTCACACGTATGTGCAATGTTTTTGACCGGAATGAAAATGTTCAAAAAGCACTAAAACATAATTTTTTTGATATATTGGAGTGTATTGGGTGCGTTCGTGGCAAAAAAAAATCACTTCGTGATTCGCGCGGCAAACTTTTATCAATTAATGCCAATATTGGCACACGTGGGTGCGATGTTTCTCACCGGAATGAAAAAGTTCAAAAAAACACCAAAACATGATTTTTGGATATATTGGAGTGTATTGGGTGCGTTCGTGGAAAAAAATCACTTCGTGATTTGCGCGGTGAAATTTTGTCAATTAATGCCAATATTGGCATATATTGGTACACGTAGGTGCAATGTTTGTGACCAAAATGAAAAAGTTTAAAAAGTACAAAAACATGATTTTTGGACATATTAGAGTGTATTGGGTGCGTTCGTGGTAAAATATCACTTCGTGATTTGCGCGGCGAACTTTTGTCAATTAATGCCAATATTGGCACACGTGTGTGCGATGCTTCTCACCGGAATGAAAAAGTTCAAAAGAACACAAAAACATGATTTTTGGACATATTGGAGTGTATTGGGTGCGTTCGTGGCAAAAAAAAAATTAACCCGTGATTCGCGCGGTGAATATTTGTCAATTAATGCCAACATTGGCACACGTGGGTGCGATGTTTTCACCGGAATGAAAAAGTTCAGAAAGCACAAAATAATGATTTTTGGACATATTGGAGTGTATTGTATGAGTCCGTAGCAAAAAATCACTCTGTGATTCACGCTGCGAACTTTTGATAATTAATGCCAATATTGACATATATTGGCATGGTGGGTGCGATATTTTCACCAGAATGAAAAAGTTCAAAAAGCACCAAAACATGATTTTTGAACATATTGGAGTGTATTGTGTGCGTCCGGGGCAAAAAAATCACTCCGTGATTTGCGCGGCGAACTATTGTCAATTAGTACCAATATTGGTATATATTGGCACAGTGGGTGCGATGTTTTTCACCGGAATGAAAATGTTCAAAAAGCACAAAAACATGATTTTTGGACATATTGGAGTGTATTGAGTGCGTTCGTGGCAAAAAATCACTCCGTGATTCACGCTGCGAACTTTTGTCAATTAATGCCAATATTGGCACACATGGGTGCGATGTTTTTCACTGGAATGAAAAAGTTCAAAAAGCATAAAAAATGATTTTTGGACATATTGGAGTGTATTGGGTGCGTCTTCGGCAAAAAAATTACTATGTGATTCGCGTGACGAACTTTTGTAAATTAATTCCTATATTGGCATATATTTGCCAATTTCAATTGGTCAGTCTAGATCTCTGATCCTTCATAACTATTCATAAATTCAGATTGGCAAATGCACCATCATGCAGAACAAGATTCAGACGAATGGTTGTGACGGTGTGTTGAATAAAATTGCATCTCTTGATAGCACCAAGCAAATGCATGTGGATAGTGTAGTACTCACGTCCACCAAGCAGTGTTGGTGCTAATGCAATCTGGCTGAAAGTGTCCTCTTTCTGTTGCATTCCATCGAACAGGTGGTCTGCAATAGACAAGGGTGACAACCACATCAACCAGGAAAGAATAAAAGCTTCTGGAAGCTACATGGCCATCATCCCCAGCGCATAGAGAAAAATCAGAAATTGTATCTTGTGAGAAATCAGTATTGACAAATAGGAACTAAACCATCCACACCTAACTCAGTGTTGCTGATGGTCAGTTCGTGCATTCCCAGCCCTGGTCGAAGAAGACAACAGGACAATAGTCCGGCAGCGACACCACCACTGGCAGCCATTAGGATCAGTTCAATTGCTTAATTGTACACATAATCTTCTCTGATTCATGTTCCAGTTGGAACTCAGTTTGTGTTAAGAAATCCTTGAACCAGAAATTTAGCCCAAATTTCCAGACCATTTTGTGTATTAAATCCCTATCCAGAAATCTGCAAGGGTACACAAAATAACAAGTAATATACAGTTCCCAACGTAAATAAAGCATAAATACTTAGAGAAGAGGCACTTAGTCCTCGCATCGAAACGAAAACAGCAGCAGCGGAAAAAGGCGATCCTAGCGGGGCTTCAGCTCCACTCCATAGGCAACACTCAACTGGGGTCTGAGCCTTTGTCCTTTAACATCGTCTTCAGATCAGAAGCACTACACTTTTCACTTTTGAAAAGAGGAATAATACCAAGGCTGAGTACAACCACCATACTCACCAAGCCACACCAATGATGCAGACATGCAAGGGGGTAAAAGGATGGCTTGTGGCTCTTTGCATAAAGGCGGTTGCAAAGCATTTTATTGAGCAAACGGTAAAAAAGTTGATTAATTAAAGTAATATTAAATCTCCCCAGATCAACGCTACACCACGTTGAACAGGCCATCCATCCCACCTGAGCTAACCAGTGCATTGAGTCGATTTATTAGGGGTGACACTGATCACAGTGAATCTGGTCAATCGCCCATAACCACGGGCACGGCTATTCGAATAGTTTTACTTTGGCCAGAGGTGCACAACTGTAACCACAAGATACAATCCACCGGCATGTCACCGTGCTGTCACGTAAAATGAGGAAAAACTCTAATAAAAACTAAGTAAACAGTATATAAAAAGTAAACAAACACGTAGAGCTCAATTTTAGATGAATTTTGCAAAGTTGAACGGCTCAATTTGGTGTTCGTATGAATTAGATATGAATTTTAGAAGTTTTGAGCCATTTAAATGAATTTCTATAATTATTAACCGAATTTATTGCGCAATTATCATGATTTATGACGTCACCGAGGGGATTGGTGGCGCCGACAAGCGGGCCCCACCTGTCGGTGGCTCAAGGGAGGCGGGTGCACAGTGGACCGGGTCCACGCGGCACCGGCAAGCGGGCGCACCACGTGGTGGCCATGGCGGACGGAGAGGGCGACGTGGCGCCGACATGGCGCCACGGGGGCACCGATGCCGGGTGGCACGGGGAGGGCCACGTGCACAGCCTAGATCACCCAGAGGGGGATCGGGCGGTCATGGGCTAGCAGGGCGGCAGCAGCCGGCTGACCGATCAGGAGGCGGCGCCGCCGGGCCCGATGGTCGTCAGCGGCGAGCGGCGGCGTCGCACATGGGAGGTGGCGGGGGAAGGAGAGGGGGCTCACCGAGAGGACGTGATGGCGAGGCGAAGATGGGAAGGCGGCCGACGACAAGGATTAGCGGCGGCGCTTCTCGGGTTGGGGTCGGGGACGGCGCTCCGGCGACTCCTGAGAGTGGTGGAGGTGCGGCCGAGGGCCAGCGGGACCTGGGGAGCAAAGAGGAGGGGTTAGAGGAGGGAGAGGCGTCGCGGCATGGCGAGGAACGCCGGCCGAGCATGGCGTTTGCAGCGGGACTCACCGGGGAGCGAGGGGAGATGGTTACAACGGCTCCCGGCAGCAGTGAGGTGGTGGCCGAGGATCTCCTTGCCCTTGCGGAGCCGAAGGAGGTGACGGCGCACCGTGAGGAGGTCGGAAACAGCGGCCGGAGGTGTCAGTCACGCGGCGGTGACCTCGGGTTCACGGTTGGGTGGTAGTTGCGGTGGCTATTTGGGGAAACCAAGCGAAGGCCGGGTGCGCGGTGAGGTGTGGCGATGCTAGTGGTGCGAGCGGCGCGGCACGGGGACTGCGGGTAGGGGTGGAAAAAAAGCTTGGGCTCGTGAGCTCAGCTCGGGCTTGGCTCGAGCTCGCTTAGCTTGGCTCAGCTCGGGCAGTCTGCGGGAGCAGCGGTGGCAGGCGGCTGAATAGCGCCGGTGAGCGGCGGAAGAGGTCGGCACGGCGGGAGCGGATTTTTGGGCTGGATGGGGAAAATGGAGCAGCGGCCGGGGTGCTACGCGGTGCGGCGAATGTAGTGGAGGCGGAGGCGCGGCTTGGCAGTGGCTAGGGCAGTGGTGGCGCGTGGCCGGAGCTCACCGGCGAGCGGCGGTGCACGGGCTCGGTGTGGGGAGAGCGAGAGAGAGTGCGGCGGGCTCTGGAAAGATGGGGAAAAGAGAGAGGGAGTCCTGAGGAGCATTTTTTATAAGCTCGGGGAGGGGAGAACGTGCCCGGACGGGGCGGCAACGGGCGGCGGCGTGGGACTCCGGCAATGTGGGCGACTGGGGCGGCTCGGCGCCGATTTTCTCGGGGAGAGTGGGGGATTTGAGTGGAGGTGTCGACCCCCGATTTTGGAAATCGGAAATCTTCTGTGTTTATCAGTACCAATCCCTGGATCAGTAGTTGGTACACACATACATAGCCGAATCACAACACATCACGTATGAATTCAGGCTAAGAGAGTTAAATACTTGCATTAGGGCCAGGCAGGCCAACAACTATCAGAGAAACAACAGCGGAAAACAAAATAATACAAGGGCCCGGTTGACATGCCACAAGCAGTCGACTGGGGAACGAGACCTAGATCGAAACCGCACTCCGATCATCTTGTTAAGTACGCAAGCGTACTAAAACAAGGGCTTCTCTTCAACACTCTGCTAAAAGATATATATAGAGCAACAATGAGTACAAAAGTACTCAGCAAGCCACCACACAAAATGCAGTAATGTACAGGATAATACAAGGAGTGGCTATGGTTACTTTGCGTAAAGCTGAGTTTTCAAATATCATTTCACAAACCTAAGACCTAGCATAAACTGATCAGGTTTTAACTCCATTGTTCATTAAACAACGACAGTTCTATCCACCATCCATTGTATTCCCAAGGATAGCTTCCCGCCACTGGTCGTCATGGTTTTCTGGGGTCTACCCCTTCTCACCTCTCGAGAAGTTGATCCACCAGTACAAAATCATCATGCATCATCTCACCCATCATTTTAAGAATTTAGAGTCTAGCCAAGTGTAATACATGTCCCGGTGCTCAATAACCGCGAGCACGGGTATTCGAATAGATTTGGTTTACTCACACTGCAGTGGATGTACACTTTACCCGTACTCCGCGACTGCCCAACACATGAGCCTCGTCCCAACACATGAGACGCGTCACGGCAAAGCCTTTCAATAACCTCACATTGGCAGTACCCACTCCATGAACTTACATCCTCATGCACTCTAGGCGTCATAAGTTTCTAGCAGTGAGAGGAGTTCTGGCTCTCCCGGGAAGGGAAGACTCACACATGCATTAAGTTATAGTTAAGTTTAGGTTTACACATGGCAGTCCTACCGATGGCGACACCACTGTAGGCACCCGCCCCACGCGGTCCTACCAATGGCTGCCCCACCGTAGGCCCTGCCTCACACACATCAAGAAAACCACTATGCAGGGATACTGCCTCCGCTCGGCTATTTACAACGCTAGGTCTATACCCACTCGAGAAGTACGGTTGTACGGAGGTCGTTTCATGCTTAGCTTCATGGCTCGATCCTTAACTGAACAGGGACGGCACTAGCCTTTACCGGACACCACCCAAGTCCTCCAGCCGCCCCAATCGAAAATAGTTGTTTAGTTTCATTTTTCCTTTCACAAATCATGTCACCAATGTCATGGCAATGTGGCGCTCATGTCTCCACATGCCGTATCTCAACTACTTTCCCTAAGGTAGTTGCCCAAGCATATAGCATATCATGCAAAAAAGTTTTAGTATAGTTATTTAAAGAATAGATAGAAATAAGATTGCGTCCAATAGCATTTGAACCTATACCAAAGGTCCGTGAGGGAAAGGTGAAAAGAACCCCCAGTGGGTAATGAAATAGAACGTGAAACCGTGCTGAGCTCCCAACCAGTGGGAGGGGAAAGTGATCTCTGACCGCGTGCCTGTTGAAGAATGAGCCGGCGACTCATAGGCAGTGGCTTGGTTAAGGGAACGGAACCCACCGGAGCCGTATATGAGAATGCATGATTCTAAAGTACCATTACTAAGCTTTTGTCATAATTGACTAAGGACTCATACGTAATCATGGGTACAAGGAAATAATGAGGTAAACAATAATCAAAGGCGTGGCATAATAACAAGTAGGATATTCATCATTGCATGCAATTTTATTTATAAACAAAACAATTTCGCAATTGGGACCAACATGCTCAAGGGATGGGGTGATGACTTGCCTACTCAGGATAGTTCTTATTCTTAATATAATCTTGATCAACCTTCACCTCCTGGAAGCTACATACGTTGCCTCACGACTAACCGATATACAAATTCTATAATACGCGAGAAAAACCAATATTCAAATAACAATCAAATGTGCACAAGAAAAATATAATGATGGTGTCGAACCTAGGGTTGCTCATACTATTCCGGCTTGCTAATGGATTCTAATCATGCTAAGGGCCAAGATTCTTAGTCTTTCTATTGTCATGGCGGCTTATTAGGGGCTAATCATCATAGTATAAATGAGATACACAGTGCTAATATGTGGTTAGGATTTATAACAAGTACCTGTTTACTGTATGTGATGGTTCTGTTGACTATTCACTGGAGGTTAACCGAACTATACATATACTACTCCACATGATGACATTGTACCGACTAACTTCTAAGTGGTCCAAATACAACCAACTCTGTTATTATTTCTCATAAACAAGTTAAAGATTCATCTATAAGTATTAATATTTTAGTTATAAAATATGAGGCTAAACTTTATGTAAATAATTTATAAGTCATGGGTTTAATTACACAACCATTAAATAGTACTAGTAGTCTAGTATCATCCTATACATTAATTTGAGACATCATTTAAAATTAGTTTGTGTGGTTGGTACAGTGACAAGACATGTTAGAGACAAATATTCTTACATCTACTTTACTGTAAAATATAAATTTTATTTGTTAGCACATTTTTAAATTGACTATTATGCATCATCTTGATATTAATTATTTTATAATTATAAATATATTTTATTAAATAATGAATTATATACCATTGAAAAGAATATGAACTTTATATGAATTTAGGTTCAAGTTTCACTCAAATCCGAGTAAGTTACACTAGTTTAAAGATTCAAATAGGAATAATTGCGAAATAGCACTGTTCATAATTGATTATTTTAGTTCCGAATCATTATCCATAACCTACCGTGACTGACAGGTGGGGTCAGGGTTTTATTATTCTTTCAGCCGATTTGTTTTACCCCGGATAAAAATTGGAGCGGGCCCGGCTTGTCAGCGACTTGGCCAGGAGTCGTCTTCTACCTTCGTCTTCTTCTTCCTCCCGACCGAGCGGAAGCAGCAGGGAAATAAGGCGCGCACGGCAAGGCCGGTCGAGGGCGACCCGACGGCGGTGAGGGGAGGGTGCGGCAAGGCTCCGGCGACCTTCGGCCGGCGGCCACAGCGTAGGATGGTGCGGGGGCGAGCAGCGTCGCATGGCCGCCATGGCCGAACTCGGGTAGCTAGGGGCTAGGGTGGTAGGGTTTGTTTCCGACCAAACTGATGAGGGATTGAGCATCTATGGTGTACGAGTTCCGTTTTTACATAAAAATAGAAGGAAGAGCCCCCGGGATGGCATGTCCACGTTGAACTCCATGGGCGGAGCTTTGGAGCTCGGGCTTGGCACTGCTATGGACCTAATCGACGAAATTGATGGGGGATTTAGTTCCCAGGGGACTAGTATGAGTCACAGGAGCGAGGAATTACCGAGGAAAGGAGGAACGACGAAGTTCCATGTCGCGGAACAGAGGCAGACGGCGTTGATGGCGCCCGAAGGTGTTCGTCGGCGTTCCTTGGCGTCCAACCTCCCCAATGGCGACGGCGGCAGCGCAGCTCCGCCTCCACTTCCTCCAACCTCCAGCTCCGGCCAGAGAGCCTCGCAATGGTGATCTCTAGCAGTGGTGAGAGAGTGATCGCAAGGTGTTCGATGAAATGCACTCGAGGGAAAAAGGCAGAGAGGGATGGGGTTTTTATGGGGGCTTAGCTTAGGGTGTAAGGAAACCATGGGGATAAGATCGCCAGCACATGGCCTGGACGAGCTAGAGTTCAATGGCGATCGGATAAGAGCAATGAGGTCGATGACACAGATAAAGATTGATCTCCTTCAATACTAAGGTTTTGTGGGCCATCATCACCCTATAACCTATAGTCTGCGAGTTTTAGCCCTAGCTGGGGAAGGGGACTCCGTTTTATCCACTGGACACAAAGAGGGGCGCATCGTTTTGTCTAGCGGGTGCATGGAGGGGCGACGGGACGTCATGGCGTTTGGATAATGGGGTGGATGTGGCGATGGCGACGCGCTTATCCAATCGGCTTCGTTCCTCATCTCTTGGAGCGACGGCTGAAGGAGATGGCGGCTTGACCGGGGTCGAGTCGCGGACCTGCCTGGCGTGGCGCGGGCTCATGGGAGCTGGTCCGGTTCAGGGTTGGACACGGTGCGGACATGATGTTGGTGCGAGACGCGACGAAGTGGCGCACGAGAGGGAGTGGCGCAGTCAGCCTGGGACTGGGAGCGGATGGATGCGGCGCGAGGGAAGGGATGCGCGGCATTTAGCGCACGGGCACGACGCGGGGCGCAGTGCAGAGCGACGTACGGAAGAGGCGCGACGCGGACACAACGCGGTCTAGGTGGGAGGCGGCTGTGTTGGGACTCGGGAGGAGTTCGGTTCGGGATAGGGCTCCGGTCGAGCACCTGGCGGCCCATGAACAGTAGCCGGCTGGAAAAGAGAGAGAAGGAAGAAAAGGAAAAAGGAAGGAAAGGGAGGGGTTAATCTGCAAAATAGTTGGGATTGGAATTGAGATGTAGCTCCATACATTTTGGATTCAAGAATTCAAATATTTTATTTGAATATTTATTTGCTTATTCATTAGTTCCCAAATGAATTTGCTTTAGATTATCCAAAAATTTTCCAATATAACTTGGAGGGTTTGATAATTCTAAAATTAATTAAAATATTTAATGTGACGATTACAATGGTAGTGATGTATTTACTCTGTTTATATATTTATATGATGAATTCTATACCATATGGTACTTGATAAAGTGTTTTAAATGTTAATTTAAATATTCCAGCGAAACAATCATCTATAGATGAGATCATTGTAAAGAAGTGGCCATTATTTCATGTGAGATTGGATTCAGATGAATTCGATTTAATCTTACCGTTTTCATTTGTTACGTATGAAACCAAGCTATCAACATGGTTTGAATATTTAATATTTGATTTATAATTTATAGAAATTAATAATTAACTTTTCCTTCATTTAGTTTTCTGCCTTGTGCATAATATTTATGGGATCGATAGATAACTTATTCTTGCGATTTGTACATCTTTAATTTTAATGTTTCATTGTGACAATTTATAATATCCAGCATGATGCAAAAGTTTTAAAAAGTTTGAAATTTTAGTGATTTTTATTGTCGGGAATTTTCAGGGTGTTACAGGAGGAATGGAGGGGAACCGATTCCACTCGGTTTGGGCGCGAGGGCGCGAGCGGGAGGGCGCCGGATTCGGTGGGACGTGGGCGGCAACGGCCGGCCATGGTTTCTTCGGCCTGGGAGGCCAGAGGTAGGAGGAGGGCCTGACAGGTGGGGTTATCGGGCCCACCTGTCGGCGATGGAGGGAGAGAGGAGGCTGGATTAGGGAGGTAAAATAGACTTTGGGGAGAGAGGGCCGAGCAGGCCGAGGGAGGGGAAGGGAGGCCAGCCTGGCCGGGAAGGAGGGGGAGGGAATGGGCCGAGCCCAAGGAAGGAAGGGGTAAGATTTTCTGGTGTCGGGACAACCTGCCCAATCAGCGTCGGAATATGCGATCAGGTCGACCGTAGTGGAACGCCGAAGGTGGACGACGAAGTCAATGGTGCCGCGAACATAGCACAGGATGCGCTTAAGAGCGGCAAGATGCGGCTCGTGCGGGTCGTGCATGTGAAGACATATCTGCTGCACGGCATAAGAGATGCCTGGCCTGGTGAAACTCAAGTACTGCAGGGCGCCAACAAGACTCCGGTAGTCGGTAGGATCAGCAACAGGAGCACCAACAATAGCTGACAACTTGGCATTTGTATCCACTGGGGTCGAGCACGGCTTGTAGTCAGTCATGCCTGCATGCTCTAGAATCTCAAGACAGTACTGCCGCTGACTGAGGTAGAGGCCAGAAGACTGTCGTGTGACAGAAATGCCTAAGAAGTGGTGAAGGCTGCCAAGATCCTTCATGGAGAACTCCGACTGTAACGACCGTATGGTCCAGCGAAGCAGAGCATCAGAGGAGGCTGTCAACATAATGTCATCCACATAGAGCAGTAGGTAGACCGTATTATCAGCACTGTGATGGTAGATGAATAGAGACGTATCTGATTTAGCCTCAACAAAGCCAAGTGACAGGAGAAAGCTGGCAAATCGGCTGTACCATGCCCGGGGGGCCTGCTTGACGCCGTAGAGAGACTTGTTGAGGCGCCACACCAAGTCGGGTTTGGTTGGGTCAACAAATCAAGAGACGGCCCAGCTGGCGAGGCCGGCCCAGTCGGTGCGCCGACCGACCGAGCAAGAGAGGACGGCCCAACAGGCGAGGCTGGCTCAGTCGGCGCGCCGGCCGGCCGAGTAGAGGAGGCTGCCCCCCACCCCGGAGTGGTAGGTTTGTCGGACTCGCAGGCCGCCGGACCAGAACGGGGAAGGCGGGAGCGATGTCCAATAGGCGCCGGAATAGGAGCTGTAAAATCCTCCAAAAACTCCAAATCAATAGCAATCTCATTATTAGTCATTTCGGCTAACGGAAAGGACGTCTCATCAAACACCACATGTTGTGAGATGATAACCCTGTCAGTGGCAAGGTCTAAACACTGATACCCTTTATGGTGGAGGCGATAGCCGAGGAACACACACGGAATGGATCGTGGGGCTAGCTTGTGGGGGGCGGTGGCGGAGAGGTTGGGGTAACACTTACAGCCAAACACGCGAAGGTGGGAATAGGATGGGTGGGCACCGCAGAGGGCAAAAAAGGGTGTGCGGTGTTGTAGATTCTTAGTTGGGTGGCGGTTGATGAGGTGGGTGGCGGTGTGAAGGGCCTCAACCCAGTATTGTGCGGGAAGGTTGGCTTGAAAAAGAAAGGAGCGCGTGATGTTGTTCAGGGAATGAAGCATACGCTCGGCCTTACCGTTCTGTGGGGAGGTGTGGGGGCAAGACATCCGCAAGGAGACCCCGTTGGTGAGGAAGAAGGAGCGGGCGGAGGAGTTGTCAAACTCCCTACCGTTGTCACACTAGATGCTGTGAATGGTCGTGGCGAATTGGGTCTTCACAAAGGCAAAAAAATGAGATAGTGTAGAAAATGTATCGGATTTAAAGCGAAGTGGGAAGGTCCACACATAATGCGAGCAATCATCGAGAATGACAAGATAATATTTAAATCCCGACACACTAGGAATAGGTGATGTCCACAAATCACAATGCACTAAATCAAAGTTTGCCTTGGCCCAACTAGTACTAGTGGGGAAGGGAAGACACACATGACGACCTAATTGGCAAGTATAACATAAAGAGGTGGTGACTCTGGGTGGTGGGATGACAGACGCCTGTGCGAAGCGAATGAGAGCCTCATGACCAAATTGGCCAAGACGACAATGCCAAAGGTCAATGTTGGTGGAGGTAGTGACAAAGGCACGTGCAGAGGCCGCCGAAGAGTACGCATCTGCCGGGAGAGGATAGAGGTCACCGGAACTATTGCACCTGACGATCTCGGCCTTGGTTGGGTAATCCTTCACAGAGAGGCCAAAAGGGTCAAGTTCAACGGATCACCAATTATCACGAGAAAAACGGCATGCGGAAATAAGGCTCTTAATAATCTCAGGGGAAATGAGAACATTGTTAAGGACAAAGGAATGATTAGGGTAATGTAAAAAGGCACGACCAATAGAGGTAATAGGGAGAAGGGAGCCATTGCCAACAATAATATGAGAGGGAGTATTGCGGGTGGAGCTTTGGGAGGTGGTGAGGGTACCGGTGTTAGACATCATATCAGAGGAACCACCTGAGTCCATGTACCATTTGGTGGAGGGCGGAGTGGTCAACGTCACCGTGTTGTACGCGCTGGCGAGGACCCAGTCCACTGGAAAGGGGACTGTGCTTGTGCTGCAACTGGATTTGGCGGAGCAGTGGTTGGAGCCGTGTACTGGGCCGGCCTGGGGAGAGCTGCGAAGGCCGGCTATACTTGATGCTGGGCTGGCGTAATGGGCCCAGGCGTGGTGGTGAAGGCGGTTCCAGCAAAACCAGGCCATGTGCCGAGAAGGCCTGGCCTAGCCTGGCCCAGTCACATGTGGATGCTTCCTGTCCATGGATTGAAAGCAGTGGGCCAACCCTGGTTGGCCCGAGGTGCTGCCTGGGCGCCAGCGTTGCCCTGGGCGCTGCTGCTTCCATTGCCGCCGCCACCGCTTGTGCCTGTACTACCGCCACCGCCACCACTGCCACCACCACCATTGCCGCGGCTGCGACGATGATTGTTGTTGCGGGAGTTGCTGTTGGAGGTGTTGGAGGAGGTCGCCGGGTGAGCGTTGGTCGAGGAAGCGGCGAGGAGCGCCATGGCGGTGCCGGCTGGCCGGTGGCCTTTTGTGAGCTCGTCGAGGAGGAGCTGTGCATGGGCCTTGGCGAAGGTGGGGAACGGGACTTGCAGCGGCAGGAGGGAGCGAAGGTTGTCGAACTTGTCGTTGAGGCTGCCAATGAGCATGAGGACGAGGGAGCGGTCCTTGATGGACTCGCCGACGTCGGCAAGGTTGTCAGTGAGGACCTTGAGCCGGCGGCAGTAGTCACCTATGGAGAGATCACCTTGCTGGAGATGATGGACCTCAGCGGTGAGGTTGACAGCGCGCCGCTCGCCATTGTCGAGGAAGTGCAGCTCGAGATCACGCCAAACTGAGCGGGTGGTCGTGGTGGGAGAGATGACTTCCTGCATGAGAGTGGCAGAGATTGAACCGTAAAGCCATCCGAGAACGACGCAATCCATCTGCGTCCAGTCGGCTTGGTTGAGGCGAGGAACATCGGAGAAGACATGCTCGGTGAGAGCAAACTTGCCGAGCGCCACAACGAAGAGACCACGCCTATGGGAGCAGTTGTCGGTGTCGAGGTTGAGGGTGACGGGGACGAGCGCCTTCACGTTGAGGACGGCGATGGCTTGATTGTGAAGCGTGGCGATGGCGTCGGTGTCGATAGTCAGCGGTGGCACGACGGCGTCCTATGACGGGGCGGCCAGCGTGATGTTGAAGGCAAGGCGAGCAAGGGCCGCCAGAACTTCAGGGGGAAGGAGCGCCACGGGCGTCGTCGGGGGCGCGAACGTCAGCGGAGGCGCGGTCCTCGTCGGCGGAGGTGCGGTTGTCACTGGAGCCAGCGGAGGAACCGTGGAGGAGACGGCGTCGTTGGTGGCTGGGGTGTCGTAGGCTCTTCGGACCTTCCATTATAATTGAGAGATGAAATGAATAATTCAAGTCATTAAACAAGCATAATGAAATATCCTACGCCTCGAGAGAGGAATATTGGAGACATTACTGGTCCTTTAGCCTGCCAGTCAACTTCAGCCTGAGATGTGCCCGTCAAACCACTCGAAGGCGGTGACCAGATGTGTTACACATTCAGGAGACTTGACAAAAATGGCTAAAGATCTACAACATCTCAAATATTCTTAACTCATACTCATGTGAATCTAGTTCCCAGGATGTGCACTAGATTCACACTTTCATCTCAAGCATGATTATACATAGCAAACACAAATAAGATGAAAGCGATTATAAACTACATCTACTTTAGTTACATTGGCCGACCGGCCAAATAAATAATAGAACAGCGGAAGCTTGTCTACCCAATCCACAAGCACACCGACTAGGGGTTTACACCATTAAGTTCAAGTCCTACAAGAAGCAGTCGATTACCTGCATCACTCAAAGACTAAGTCTAAATCCTGCAAGCAAAAGTTAATTCAACAGCAAGAGTCAGTATATTATTAGAAATAATGTACTGGCAAGCACCAAGACAAGCCTAACACCCTACTTGCAAGGCATATAATCAAGGAAGGCATAGTATGGTTCTTTTTAGCATAAAGCAAGTTTTATTTGCATAAAACACATTCAAAACGGATTTGCTTTCAAATAAAATTTCAGCAAGTTAGTACTTAGCATAAGGGCATCAAAGTAGGCATTAATCATGTATAAATATTCACCTCATTGCCATCCATGGCAGCAAGGAGATCATTCTCAAATCTCATCACAATTTGAAGGTAAATTTCAGCATTTAGGAGAATAAACACAAGTCTATACTCAATAGATATCCACACGTCGCTCTTGACCGCGAGCACGGCTAATCGATTAGTTTTTACTCTGCAGAGTTTGTACACTTTACCCACATGATGCGAAATAATAATCATGCAAGAGCATGGCACGCGATACATAAGTACCCGATTTATTACCCGCAACAAAGCTTTTCCAAAATTCATGATTTAGCCTTACACCAGCACGATACGTGTTACTCCATCCTAAGCCATACTCGATATATGACCTAGAATCGTTAAGTGGCGGGCCCACGCCTTAAACTTAACGCCGTGGTGGCGGACACAACGGGAACCCACCACGTGGCACAGTACCGTTGTATTGGACACGCTTAGTCACCTAAACTACCACGTCGGGGTAAATAGGAAGCTCCTCTGAATTATACGAACTCATACACACCGGCCTACCAGAATGTAAGACTAAACCATAAATAATTTACTAAGCTTGGGCTATCCCATACTAGCACATGTGGTTGTACTGTATACGAAATGAACTGACATTGAGTGAAGTCGTTAAGTCGGTTTGGGCGCACACTCCTCCTATCGATACATAACTAATCACCATATGTGCACCACTTGAGGCCCAAACCTAAAATCGATGTTTTCCACCATTTTATTTATCAAAATCACAAGTATTAAAGTTCTATCTAGATTATTTAAAAATCAATTTTCATGTTTGTAATGAGCCCATAATAACAAGGAAGACCATTCTAAGCATGGCTAAGCATTATAGTAACCTAGTGTCACCAAAACTCATATATAAAATGGTATAGTCATATTGTTCCTAAGGTTAGAAATGAGGGATATGGATATATGTGGAGTTAAGGTGATAATGCAAGTAGTAGGAGTTTATCTAACAAGTTTAACAAAATTTTAATTTATTAGTGTACAATCGACATGCAAGATTTGCAAATATTTTCAATAACCTCCAAAACATAGGTTCAAAGTGATCAAAGAGAGGGAGGTGGGACTTGCCTTGTAACTGGAAAAAGTCAGCAACTAAATCACTTCTTCACCGTTTAGGCAATCATCTATACAATGTACACGTTATGCAATTAAAACACCGAAATATGCGAAAAATCCAAAATGCTCTAAAATGCATGATTTGTGCACATTGGATAGGTACTGGTCTAAAATGAATTTATGTGAAAGAATTTCTATTTTATCTCATTTCATTTGAGAGTTATGAATTTTAGAAGTTTCGTCGGTATAGTGTAGGATTTACTTAGGTACTATTGTGAACTGCTGTCGTAAGGTGATTCTTATTAAGTTCATGTTTGTTGGGGTGAATATATGTGTTGTCTAAGACTAACACATTTGATTTCATAATTTCATAATTTCATAAGTTTTAACGTGTTCTAGTCATATAGTCCCTATACGTACATGGCTTTGGAGATTGAGGTCCAGAACTTGCTCTAACTTGCTATTGTTGTATAAAATGAGTATTTTAGTTAACTAATCTAATCTTAATTCATAATTTTAGAGTTTATATTATTTTACTACACATTTTTATAATTAGAGATATTCTATGTTAGTTACTTAACTTATCAACCTAAAGATTGTTGCATGAGCTAAGTTCATCTAAGTTTTGGTATATGGGGATGGAACTATGGCTCCACTGGTTCTAACAAGTTTTATTTGGATTTATATGGAGATACCATGCATATATATACTTATTCATATGTTTTGTTTAACCACTATTATGTGTTTAGTACCTATTCTACCAAGTTAAGGTTTAGAGCTATGGTCTGTACAGAGGGTGCCATAATTCACTCTACTAGGTTGAAGTATATTACTTGCTGGTTCTACAGAAATTTGGTTCACTTCATTTAGACTAAAGATGAATTTTCTACAATTTTTACAATTTAAGGTATGCTCCATGTTGCTTATTCCTTACATAAATGCTTAGGGGTTTTTATTATACTGTAAGTATGTCTTTTTATTTTATAACATTGAAGTGCACGACTCTATGATTCTACGGAACTTGAGTTTACTCAAAAAGGATCTAATATGAATTTTATATAAACTTCTAAAGTTCAGTTCATGCAAAACTAGTTATTTTAAAGACAATAGTTTTAGAGGCATTTGATGTAAAGTGTTTATATGTTTTATTTTACTTTATTTTTAGAGAACATGTTGGTGGATCTGTAGAAACTAAGTTTGCTATAAAATGAGTTGAAATGAATTTTTTATGCATTTTATAAGTTTGTATATGCTTTATGTATGATTTATCTTAGATAAATTTTAGAGGCTACATTTGTACTGTGAGTGCAAGTTTTTATGCAATAACACTAAAGTTCATGATTCGATGAGTTAACAGTAATTTGTATTACTCTAAAATGAGTTGTTTCCAATTTTTTAAGGATTTTACAAATTTACATGTTTTTCTGATGAAAATATAAAGCTTTAGGCATTTCATTTAGATTTTTCCAGAATTTAAATAGATTCGGTCCACAGGTCAGTTTCAGGCCAATATGCAAAAAGGCTCCTAGAGTTTCAGGAAATCAACCCGCAGTTCTATGACTGTTCTGTGTGTGAGGTAGGTTTTACAAACTAGTACCTAGAGTTTTGATTCTTCTCAACAGAGGTCCTTGGTTTGAGCTGACACAGAGCTAAGCCATGGCCGAGCTCGTTCTCGAGCTCGCCGGTGACAAACGATGACTCGTTTGGGGGTGCGAAAAAAATACAAAATGAAGATCATGTTATTGCGATTCCATTCCTTTACTTTTCTCGGTTAGAGGACATCGGAGTAACGCCGGCGGCGAGTCCGAGCGGAGGATGTTTTGGCATGGGTAGACATGTTGTGCTATAGACTGGATGTACCCAAAGGGATGCATGCATGTATGTTCTATAGGCTGCAGGGTGCTCACCGAATCTCGGACGAGGTACGGGTAGGCCTGGATAGTGACGATGATGCAGAGGATATCCCCGCGGCGGCGGAAATCGGCATGGCAACGGTGACAACCACAATCCGGACTCCGGGCTGCCAAGAAATATAGTGGAACGGCTCAAAGACCATCTAAAGATGCTACACGAGTGAGGAATTGCGCCGAAGCTCACCCGGGATCAAGGAATCGACGACGGTGGTCGGCGGCCGGACCTGAGGAAGAAGACGCCGATCTCCCTCATCGTTGCGGCACTGGCTGGGGTTCTTGAGGGCTTTCGAAGAGGACGTCGAGGCTATCCTGGTGGCGCAAGAGTTCGGCTTGGGGTGGCTCGGTTCGGTCGGAACGACGACGAGAACCCGACGACGGCGTCCAGTGCGCGCTCCAGAGCATCGTCGGCGAGCTCTGCGTTCCCGTGGCTGCAGTGGATGAAATGACGTGGTGTCAAAATAGAAGATGATCGGCATGATGAGGAGAGTATGGAACGGTAGAAGAGAGAAGACGACCACGGTACAATGGCGATGGCGACGGCCGTCATCTCCACGGCCGGCGGCATGGTCGAGATGGAAAAGAAAAGCCGGAGCTCTCCCCCTCGGTTTGCTCGGCTCAGGAGTGGTAATGTGAAGGAGGCGATGCAGCTGGGTGGAGGTGAAGCCTCGGTTCGGCGCTGCCACGTCGAGGCCACGCGTAGACGCCGTCCAGTGCCGGTCGGCGCCCTCAGTCTCTCTCTCTCTCGGCTGTCACTGTGTTGGATGGAGGAGAAATAGAATATGGACAGAGAAGAAGTGACTCAGAGAGGCTTCCATGTGGGTCCAGGGCGAAGGGAACAAGGCTGGAGTGAGAGAGGTGGGTAGAAGATGGGGTGTTAATTGATTTTGGACGAATTTTCAGGATTATTTCTCTCCATCTCACTCTGTAGTTCTATAGTTTCATTTGTGAGTGTGATAAATTCTCGTGGATTTTTCTGGATGTATATAAAGTTACCTAGTTTCTATTTTCTTTGGTTGCACTTAAAAATTATAGATAGATTACTCTCAGAAATTAGGAGAAAAGGGGCTCTTTGGAAACTAGTTTTGATTTTTAGGAGACCTAAACAGAGAAGATAAATTCTGGAAAAATTATATTTATTCATGATAATTAACCTAGTATTTGAATAAATTATTTCCCCTATACACTTCCATGCAGTTAAATACACTTTTAGACAAGGTATGGTTTTAGCCAATTAGGAGTTATAATTAGTCTATTATTTGACTGGTTTAACTGATTTATTTGAGGTATCAAATTTAGTTATTAAATTGTACCGAAATTACTGTGTGTTGTATATGTTAATTAGAGCCTACATGAATTTTCCAATGATTTTATCTTGCACAGATTATTTTAGATAATTAGCAAGACTTATTTTCCTTTCCTAAATGTATGTAAATGTTTTTAAAACTTTTATATTTAGACTCTTCTTAACCTGAGGTGATGTTGATATGTTAGAATTTTAGTTTACCTCATTTCATAAGCTCCTTAACTATTTATGCATAAGTTTACTCTAGTATTAAATTAAGAGAATGCTTATAAAGGTAATTAAGGTGGAATATACCCTATATGAGTTAATTTATTTGTTCACTTCCATGTTCATGACTAGTCTTCAGATGGATGACCAAATTAGTTTTGTAGGGCTTGACATTGTTCTTGTTGATATATTTTAAGGTGTATTATGGTTCCTATGTATTATTTTCCATTAGTTAGCACTAGGCCCTAATGGTTTAGTTGTTTGTCTGGATTGCAATTATATTCATGAGACCTATTATGAAATGCAAATCGAAAATCCAAATGCATATGAAGGACTCAAGTCAAAATATGATTTATGCGAGTATGCATGCTTTCACTTGGGTTGCATCCAAGTCCTAGGTTAAAGATGAAAAAGTTTTAATTTGCTCTCAAATTTTATTCATGCAAGAGTTGGATCAACTTCACCTAGGTTTAAAATGGAAATTTTTGGTTTACAAAATTGAAGAACTTCCCTTTCAACTAGTTTTGATGGAAATTCCTTAATCCTAGAATTCAGGTATGTTACATGGGGCCGGCTGGAAGATGCCGAGGAACACAGGGGCGAGGGCGGTGCGAGCCGCGGTCGCGCGCGTTCGGCAGCGTCGCCAGCGACAGCGGTGGCCTGGGCGTCATCAAACCCGGGAGGGTGTTGGAAGGAGGAGCGAACAGCGTCGGTGATGACCTTGATGGTGTCGTCGTGGATGGAGTCCCCAGTGAGAGAGGAAGGAGCGGCCATGGCAGCGGTAGGATTCGCCGGCCGGCGGCTAGGGTGGAGAAGAGGCGGAAGCGAGGAAAGAAACCTAGTTTGATACCATGAAAGTGTGATTGGCACGACACAATGGATTGCATTATCGATATGACAGATTACATATAGGCCCAAACCTTCCATATCTACCGCAACCGATTTATAGAACAATATCGGAGGGGATAAGGAAAGAAGGGAAACAGATAAACACAATCACATTCTAACAAGTTCCATGTCTCTTATATGTGTATATGTGTGTGTGCATATCCCAGTACTAGATTGTCAACAGCTATTATGCATCTGTTCGAAAGTGACTGAACTAGAGAGAAAATTGAAAATAAAATGAATATATACTTGCTGTTTAGTTTTCCTCCTTCCTACTATAGCATACATCAGTACCATAGAGGTCAGTTTCACTTTCAAATGAATTTTGATTATAGTGTACTACTGATTGGAAAAGAGAATATCCTGACAATTATCGTTCATTTAAAAATAAAAAATATACTGAATTTGCTGGTTCCATTTAACATGGAGTCTCATTTGCTCACCAATAGCTCGTGATCTACTTTCCTCTTAACCAATATAATTTATATTTCACTTTATGCAGACAATGATAAATCTGATGTTCCCATTATATGTCATCTGTTTTGTCCTTCGGAGCAAAAACGGTTTCTATCTATGTTTTTTCCCCATGTTTTAGTGTACCATGCGCTCTTATAGTTTTCATATTACTGATGATAGAAAATGCATTTCTATATTTTTTGTGATCGAGGTGGTCGGCAGCAACGGTGTGGCGAAGCAAGAGTAGAGGTCACGGAAGATGCGGACGAACAGCGAGGAACCGGGCCTAGCACAGAAGAGCAGTTGCTCGCCGCCATTCCAACCTCCTCCCTCCACCCACCACATCTGTTGAATAGAGTGATCAGGAGGGGGAGGACTCTCGTCTGATCCATCCCATGCCACTTGTGGTGTTGGAAGAAGGGGAGGGCAAGGTGGCGACTTTTGAGCTGCAACTGGGAATAGCATCTACAAGGGCAGCAGGCATCCCTGACTGGAGCTGATGAAGTCATCACTGCTGATCCTTCTAACGCCGACCTACAAGGTATGCCTCAACGTCAACTCACATTTACTAATTCTCAATCGCCACATGCCACTGATAATTGACCTCGGCCCCTGATTCGACTCAAGATATGACAATGAGAAGCCATCTTTGTTAAAGATTAAGATTGTTTTGTTTCTATTGTAACTAAAATGATCTTGGCCCTAAACATTAATACGAAGTTGCTAACTACCATAGTATTTCTATGTTTTTTGGCACAGAAACAATTCATACTACCTCTGTTTTTTAATACATGATGCCGTTAACTTGTAGACACACGGTTGACCATTTGTCTTATTGAAAAATTTACATATTTGTAATTTCATTGTGTTACTAACGCATAACGTATATTTTGTCTTATGTGCTGCTCATGAAATTTTCCCTCTTATTTTCTAATGTTTTCTTTTATTTTAATGATGAGGTATCCCCAGCCCCAGGAGATGTTGAATGTATTCATGGGAAGCTGGGCCTTTTGTCTTTCTAGAAATCGATCTATACACTTAAGTAAAACAATTCTTTTTACCCCAAACGATAAGTTGATCCCAACTCTATTAGTTGCTTATATTCACAACATTCCTTCCATTGCAATATTTCTTTATATACAATTTGGTTTAAATTAATATTTTCATCTATATTTGTCATGTTTTGCTTATCAGTGCCCTCACACGCCCAATATGATATATTATAGTTTTTGTTATGCAGACATCCATGGTTTCAATTAAATTTCAACCATATTTGAATTATCATGATATTTGCTTTCCAGGATCTACAATGCATTTTATCTTTGAAACAACTGCCAGTATCAGAGTTTTCTATTTGCAATTAGAATATTGGCAGAATAATATGGGCACTTGAAATTTTCACTTGGTTCTATTGCTTGACAAAGTTAGTGTGGTTTAGTTGAGTTGGTCCAATTGAAAGGGTTGCTGTCATTCTACTCTGTTTACCAGCGACACATTGGCTTGGAAATCAAGTCTTCAGCCAGCTTTTGCGCAGCACAATTTAGAATATTATTTTCTTGTTATAATTGTATTTGTTTGTAACAAAATTGTGTCAAAAAAATGACACACAATTGCTAGCTATTTTACAGTTCTAACTGGGCTAGATGGTCATATCTTTAGGGTATATTACCTTCAAATAATTGACTCTATTGTAGTTCTGAACTGACATGCTGAAGTTTTTCCTCTTAATCATTCTGTGATATCAAACAAAATCAGCATGATGTGTCTCAGTGGCTTTCAACATGCGTACATTGTTTCCAGCACTGGCTTTCCGTGGCAATATAAGGTGTGATATATGAAAATAAAATAGTTAATTTCCTAGGTTTGAAAGCTCATGAGTTAAACTTTATGTGATCTCAGACAATATAATGGTTTTTCTTATGTCTGTAAAATATGCTAATGAAATTTTCATTGGCTGTTAGATGCAACTTTGATTATCTATTCCATGTGAACCACGTTGATGAGAAAAAAAGTATAAGATGGTCAAGCTAAACAAGGGATTTTTTTACTAAAGTTCCCCGTCGCATTAGTGCGTATGATCGATTGCACACATTATTATTTGTGACAATATTTGATTTAGTTGATCTTTCTGTAAATTAGAAGTGATGTTGTTGGCTCTGCTCATAAGTCAAGGAGACAAGGACTCTAAGCAAGAAATCGAAGTAGTTCACTCAATGTATCACTACTTTTGACTGGTGAGTCTCTATGATCATCTCTGTACATTATACAATCATATAGCCATATTTGTGTCATGTAAATTTGCTTATGAAATTACATCCATGCTGTAGGAAATGGATCGAAACCTATGTGTTAACTACTACGTATATTAGGTTGCTGTGTACATTATAGCTAGCATGAAATTGCAGTATGTGTGAACATATTCTATACCAATTTATCCCAGCATGTGAATACTACCATGGCTGAAGCTTTCTATATTTTTTAATTGCTAGGACCCCATATGTTTAGGTCTTAGCATGCTTTTGCTCATCGCAGTGTGATATGGCATCTATCTAGCAGGACTTCATTTACTTCAGTTTGTTCTATTCTGGTGTTATATCTTAACTATGGCAATCTGAATATGAGATGGAGAGTTTTGACATGTTTCAGGTTATACTACCAAGCTGGCCATTTGGTAGGTTTTTGGGCATGTTTATTGGCTTTGGAACTCTGATTCTCAGACTTAATTTTTATCCTTACAAGTGGCAATGTTAGCTTGACGATTAGGGAGGTTTGGCCGCATCTTCAGTATTGTATAGCTTATTGAGTTAATAATATTTGCAGAGTTATCTTCTTTGCTTCTATGGTTATACGGAACATT